GCTTAATGGCTCCTTAGAAAACCATGCTTTTAGAAAAGGAAATCCTTTTTAAAGTTTTCACTTAAGAAGCATGAGAATTTATACAGCAGATAATTATCAACATATTAAATTACTGCTGTACCAGAAAGTACAATACTTTCCTTACTAAAATTGGAGAGTGTAAAGTCTGGTGCAGCTCTACAGAGAAACCAAGCAGTATCCTGTTTTTTTTTTTTTGCCAAAGCTTAACCACTTGCCAACCGCGCTATAGCCGAATGACGGCTACAGCATGGTTGTCCAGTCCTGGGAGGGCGTCATATGATGTCCTCCCAGAACGTGCCCTTCTTCGTGCACCCGGCGATCTCCGTGATCACTGTGTCCTATGGACACAGCTGACCATGTGATGTGGTAAAAGGCCAATCACAGCGGCCTTTTACCACGTGATCAGCTGTGACCAGTGACACATCAGATCACCGGTAAATGCAGTTGCCAGTTATGGGTTGCACTTTCCTCATGCTGTCACAGCGTGAGGAAATTACTGCTGATAACCGGAAATTGTCAGAAGAGATCGGCACTGATGACCAGTGCCCTGATGATCAGCGCCCAGCAGTGTCACCCACCTGTGCCCATCAGTGTCACCCACCTGTGCCCAGCAGTGCCACCCACCTGTTCCCAGCAGTGCCACCCACCAGTGCCCAGCAGTGCCCCCCATCAGTGCCACCCAGCAGTGCCCAGCAGTGCCGCCAGTCAGTGCCCAGAAGTGCCATCAGTCAGTGCCACCCATCAGTGCCCAGCAGTGCTGCCCATCAGTGCCACCTATCAGTGCCCATCAGTGCTTATCATTGTTGCATATCAGTGCAGCATCATCAGTGCCGCATCATCAGTGCCAGCTCATCAGTGCCGCCTATCAGTGCTGCCTATCAGTGCCAATCAGTGCTGCCTATCCATGCCACCTCATCAGTGCTGCCTATCAGTGCCCATCAGTGCTGCCTATCAGTGCCCATCAGTGCTCCTTATCAGTGCAGCCTCATCAACGCATATCAGTGAAGGAGAAAAAGTTTCAAATGTTTCGCTCTTTTTTTGTTTATAGCGCAAAAAAATAAAACACCCAGCAATGAGTAAATACCACCAAAAGAAAGCTCTATTTGTGTGAAAACAATTATAAAAATTTCTTATGGGTACAATGTTGCATGACCGCGCAATTATCATTCAAAGTGCGACAGCATTGAAAGCTGAAAATTGGCCTGGGCAGGAAGGGGTATAAGTACCCAATAGGCAAGTGGTTAATTGAACAAGCTGAATTTAGAAGCTGATTGGCTACTATGCACAGCTGCACCAGATTCTGAGTGCTCCAGTTTTAGTAAATCTTCTCCACAGTCTCTTTAAGGCTAGGTTCACACCTATGCAGTTTGCATTTGACACCTGCATTTTTTATGTATTTTTGCCACGTTTTTGATGCGTTTTGAGTTTTTTTTTTTCCTTTTTCTTGCTGCTAGGCAGATTTAAAATGCAAAACGCATCAAAAACCACATCAAACACATGGCAAAAACGCAGCTAAAATGCAGCAAAAGTGCAATACATGCTTTTCTGCAGCATTTCCATTGAAATCTATAGAACTAAAAATGCTACTTTTTGCGTTCACAAAAAGTCCCTGGCCCTTTCCAAAAAACGCACCTGGTGAAAATGCGGAGATGTGAACATGTCCCATAGGAAATCATGTTAAATGGACTGTACTGCGTTTCTGCAAACCGCTGCAGAAAACGCTTAGGTATGAACCTAGGGTAACCTATAAAAGTGACCAGCTTTAAGTAAACGTGATATTGAAAAACGTTCTAAAACTTGAGTGTGACAAAGGTTACAGCATGATCATGTTTTTTGTGCTGCCTGTCATAAACATGACAGACCAGACAACTTATCACTTGTGCCCCTTTTGTCATTTGGAAAAGCATCTGTTCCAATTTTTTATGCTTTTTATTTGGACTTTTTGAGATCTCTGACCATGGTTCTGGCAGCTTATACTGTACCTCTCTAGTTGTTGTCCAACACAACTGCAATGTATTGTTCAGAGAAGTATTTATGCAAACAACATTGATGGTACAAAATATTCTCTCTCTCTCTCTCTCTCTCTCAAAAGTTTGCATACCCTGGCAATCATACAATTTTGGCATTGATATTGAAAATATGACTGATCATGCCAAAAAAATGTCTATTATTTAACCGCTCGCCCTTCAGAGGATTTACCCCCCCCCTTTCCTGACCAGACCATTTTTTGCGCTGCGGCACTGCGTTACTTTAACTGACAATTGCGTGGTCATGCATCACTACACTCAAATTAACTTTATGTCCTTTTTTCCCACAAATGAAGGTTTATTTCGGTGGTATTTGATTGCCTCTGCATTTTTTATTTTTTGCGCTATAAACAAAGAAAGACAGACAATTTTAAAAAAGCCCCAATATTTTTGAATTTTTGCTAAAAAACAAAACCAGTAAAAAAAATGTAAAAAAAAAAATCTAATTTCATTATAAATTTAGGCCAAAATGTATTCTGATACATGTCATTGCTAAAAAAAAAATCTCAATACGTGTAAATGAATTGGTTTACGTGAAAGTTATAGTGTTTACAAATGGCGGTATATGTACTGAAATTTGAAATTTTTATTTTTTTTTATACTCGTAATGGCGGTGATCAGCAACTTATAGCGGGACTGCGGCTTTCTGACACTGGGGTGGAACTGACTAACTGTTACTGATATCCCCAGTGACACTAATACAATGATCAGTGCTAATAAATAGCACTGACACTTTACTAATGACACTGGGCAGGAAGAAGTTAACATCTGGGGTGATCAAAGGGTTAACTGTGTGCTGTGTGTGTGTTTTACTAGGGAGGCATGCTGTTTTGTATTGCTCTGCTATGCAGAGCAATAGAAATCAGCATACTGGAGCTGACAGGGAGAGATCTGTATTGCTTACATACAGACCTCTCCCTTGTCAGTGATACTCGGAGATTGCCAGCAGAGAATCTCCGGCCAAGACCCAGTGATTGACAGCTGTAGCCACCCCTACCTGGAAATACATAAATCTATATACATGTATATGTTATTTTGTGCAGCCCTGCCACCCTGTAGCAGTATTTGTGCTCTAGGGTGATGGGGAAGCAGTTAAGGATAGTGATCATATGAAGCCATGTATTGTCATTAGTTGTTTGGCTCTTTTTGAAATCATAATGGTAACAGAAACCAAATGGCCCTGATCAAAAGTTTCCAGCCCCCGGAATGTTTGGCCTTGGTACAGACACACAAGGTGACACCTGTTACTCAGGTCTTTTGATTGTTCTTTTCTGATCCCCATGGCTCAGTATCTACCCTGCTCAGTGCATCCACGTCAGAGCTAACAAACTCATTGACTATTTATCCACAATTTAAAAAGCCACAGAGGTGGGACATTAAGCTTTAATTGCCATTTTAACCTGTGTGTGTCAACTTCCAGGGTATGTAAACTTTTGATCATGGCCATTTGGGTGATTTTTTTTATCATTAAAATTTAAAAAGGAGCAAAACAACTATGTGATAATACATGACTCCATATGATCACTATCCGTAAATGAAAGACTGTTTTTTGGCGTTATCAGTCATACTTTCAATAACAATTAAAAAATTTCACGATTTCTGCCAGAGTGTGCAAACTTTTGAGCACAACTGTATATATTTTCTTCAAAAGAGACCATTTTACAATATCATGCACAGGTCATTCATTCAATATATAAAGTACAAATCATGCAGACCTTAGTACAAAAAGAAAGGGAAAGAAAATCTCCTTGGCAAATTTTCAGTGACAAAATCAACATCATTGTAGTTCATTGTTCCATCAGCCATGCTGTAGCAGGCTGTCATGCAAGATTACCTCGATAATATGTACCGGATAAGACATTTCTAACACCAAAATGGTGAGGAACTACTACATAAAAAAACCATCTGCTATTCCCTTGAGAAAAGATCACATTCATGGAAGTACACCATTTTATAACAATAGTATGATTATGTTATTATCATAATAACTTCAAAACAGCAGACGTGTGAACATAAAAACCTTCCTTTATACGGACTGGGTGCCAATAAATCTGCCATCAAAAAGTAAGCACTGCCTGGTGAGATAATAAATGAATGTGAAACTATGCTCTACTCTCACAGCTGTTCTTTATATGGAAAGTTGTATTGCAATGTTTAGTGATACCAGTTTGGCTTCTTATCATAGCCAAGATATAAAAAAGTGTACAGGACACCAAAGGGCAGAATCAAAGGCTGCTTGTCATTTATCTAGCAGACTCCTTCAAAAGGAGTAAAAAAACAAACAAACTACAGAATACAGAATAATAAGTACTGAACTCCAGGTGGATGTAAAAGAAAAACATGATTGCACTTCTTTATTCATTAACCGCTTCAAGTCCGGACACTTTCACCCTCTTCCTGTCAAGGCCAATTTTCAGCTTTCAATGCTATCACACTTTGAATGACAATTGCGCGGTCATGCAACACTGTACATATATTAATTATTTAGCATTTTTTTGAGGCAGATAAAACTTTATTTTGGTGGCATTTATTGATCACTGGGATTTTAATTTTTTTGGTATATAAATGAAAAAGTCCAAACTTTTTAAAAAAAAGTGTTTTTTTCTTATAACATTTTGCAAATAAATAATCTTTCTTCATAAATCTTGGCCAAAATGTATTCAGCTATATTTTTAGTAAAAAAAGAAATAACCCAAATTTGTTTATAACCAAAAATTATTTAAAATGTTTTTTTTACATTTTTATTTTATTTTTTTATATTATTATTTTTATTTATTTTTTTTAACATACTGTCACCGTAGCAATACAGTGTCACTATAGTGACACTGTACTACTTGTGGTGGGTGATGAAGATTTTTTTTTTTACACTGATTGCTTTTACACCCATAAAGGCAGTAAAAGCAATCATTTATCCTCTCTGGCTGCATTCTTGCAGCCATTGAGAAATACTGTGAGAGCTGTGATTGGTCACAGCTTCTCACTTGGTACAAGGCTGCTGTGAATAACCTTGTACCATGTGACCTCTGTGATCATTCACAGATTTCACTAGTAGTAAGCAATGATGTCAGCAAGTGACATCTTGCTTACTACTATTCATGCGATCACTGATTGGCCAATCAATGATCACTGATTGGTCAATCAGTGATCACATGATCGGGATCTCACACAGATGTCCCGTACAGCGATCAGTGTTCTGCTGTGATCGAAGGACACAGCGGATCCCAGGGAGCGCGCACAGGCAATGGATGCGGGAGGACGTTTATAAACAGCCACCAGCTCTTGCAATGTTCCCCTCCGGCCGTTTATGTACATGGGCCAGAAGGGAAGTGTTTAATAAACCACTACCTGTATTTTGTTTAATGCAAGCAGTGTAAGTACCTACATTTGACTTAACATTCTATTGCAATCCCTATACAGCAAAGCTCAGAATGGAAGGAGAAGCAAAAAGTGGAGCCAGTTAGCTGTACTAACAAGGAGCATGTTAATAGGGGGAGAGAGCAGAGTGACAGAGAGGTAAACTTGTTAGTGTTCTGCTACTCTTTTCTCTGCCTAGTCATAGGCTGGGAGAGGGACAATACCTGTAAGTGTTACTTGAAGAGGAACTTCAGTATTTTCTTTAAAAATTAAAAGTCAGCAACCAAAAAAACTGTAGCTGCTGACTATTAACCTCCCTGGCGGTATGATTATTTCCGATTTTTGGTGCTGAAAGCGGTACCATTTTTTTTGCATGGAAATATGTCGTTTTTTATTGTAGGCTGTAATTTTTAGGAATAACTCACTGAAATCTGTCCGAACAAGAGTCTAGTAAACATTCCGGATATGATAAAACTTGAAACACGAAATCATAAATTATAATTTAATTAATAATCATAAAAAATAATAATATAATAATAATAAATTTAATTCAATAATATAATCAAACCAAAAACACTGAAATTTGAAATACAGAGGCAAATTCGCACATCGCTGAGCAAAGTCGCAAAATCGTTTTCAGTGTCTAATGACGAATTTTCCCACGAATCATTATCACTCAATTCTGAAAGTGGTTCTAATTTACTATCGCTGTTCTCTAGCTGATCTAAAACCGCTTTTGACATAAAGGGACGCTTTTTGGACGCCATGGACTTTTCTAAGTTTCCAGGCAGAAAGAACAGTCAAAATGCAGGCAGGGCACAGGACAAAGCAGTAGGGACAAAATATATGTGAAATGCATTGAAACAGCAATGTTTTACTATATAATAATCATTTTTAAAAAAAATGACATTTTTTAAAAATGTCAAATTTGCCGCCGGTTCCGGCGCCCGTACGTCCCGACGTCACAGAGACCGGAACACGGAAGCCAGATGCCGGCATCGGCCGGAGGAGATGGCCGGGGACGCTGCAGGGGACACATCGCGGAAGTGAAGGACAAGGTAAGTGCTGCAGGGACTCCCTGAGCAACGCCGCATGGTAAGCCCGAGTGTAGCTCGGGGTTACCGCTCTTGGTACTGAAATTTTACCCCGAGCTACACTCGGGAATACCACCAGGGAGGTTAATAAACAGACACCCGTCTATCCAGGGATCCAGCGCTGTCCTCACCAGAACCGATTTTTTTCAATGGTCTTCGGGTCCTGGTGCCAGCATCTTAACTGTGACCCCTGTGACTGTGGCTTCACAGCTGGCTGCCCACTGTGCATGCGTGAGACTTTCTTCACTTTGTGAATGGTCCTGCAGCCTTCTGGGACCTTTGAAATGTCTCAGAAGTCTGCAAGCGTAATGGGGGTGGGGGGGGTGTGGAGAACTTCTACTCAGATAGCCTAGGTGATCCGAGTAGAAGTGGGTACGGGTACCTGTTAAAACTAGGTACCCACTCCATCCCCCCCAGGAACAGTTCCAAGTGCTGTGTGAAGTTCAGCTTTAAATTCAGCAGTGTAAAATGGGGTCTCCTACCCCGTAGGGCTGTACAAGACTGGATAGACAGAAATACAAATCTTTTGGCAGGTAAGACAGCATATATACAGTATATGTATATATTAGCTTGCAAAAGATGAAATCTGATTGCTAGTCAAATATCACTGTACTTTCATATTGGTCTTTTCTTGATTGATTAAGGGCCTATTCACACTGGAAGCAGCAATCCATGCGCCTTTCCTACACCAAATGTGAACGCACTGCCCCTGAGAGATATGCACGGATGCCATTGATAATTGGAATCCAAATGCATCTTGCAAATGCAGCCACCAAATCATATGGTACCGCAGCACCATGCGGTTTGGTGCTTGCACTATTTTTTCTGTGTTCCAATACATTTGACAGCCCATTGAAATGATTTAGCTGTCAAAACTGGAGTGCATTGGACCATATAGGAATGTATGTGTTCTTGTGTGAACCAGCCCTAATATTGAATGTATTAGTTATGATATGTATTTTTCTTCCAGTGGGGTTATTCACTTAATTTCCAGTATGTTCAATGGGAAAATCCTAAAAAAACCCAAAAACATTTGTTATAGGCATTGAGAACAGCGCTTCTATCAGACACATTGCCAGATAAAAACCGTTATCTTCCAAGAGAAAAGGAGAAGTAAAATATTCCTGTCATTGATATAGATCACCAATAAACAGAAATGGTTAATCTTGAATGGCTTGGGGTTCTAAACATAAAACATGTATCAGCTGTTGATGGTAATTACGAAGGTGAAATTCAGTACTGTAAGAAATTAAAGAGAAATCTGTAAATCAATTAGGATTGTCACTATGAGCTACAGCATAAACTGAGGTGCAATATTACATTCTAATGTTTTAACACCTGCCTTCATTTATCTTAGTGTGTAATAACTTAATTAGGTTGGTAATTAGTGGTGATGAAAAAAGATATTCACAAGGGATGATTTAACACGGATTCAAAAGCCTATAAAATGTGCTATGTTTTACATTAGTGGATGGTTTTGTGCTTTCTTTCAGGAATTGGTGTCATATCAAACAGCTCTGATATGAAGTCACAGGGTCTGTGAGGGATATATAACATCTAAATCATTTGTGGAATTGCTCTAGGGAGGGCTAGATTTCAATTTTCCATTTTCCCATGATATTTAAATTGCACCTCTGCCATGATCAGAGGTCTTTATGATTCTGCAGCTCTATACTTCCTAAATACAATACAGGAATCCAAGCACTGATATCTCACGAATATAGCTCCTGAGTGCTTAAAGTGTAACTATGGGCAGAATAAAAAATTACATTGATGATGCAGACTGTCACTACCATTGGCATAACAGTGTTTGTTTTTGCGTGTCACCCCCACCCCACATGTAACAAGTTTTATTTCCTGTTGGTCCTACTAGTAGGTCTATTAATTTTTCACCTCCTTTATCAGGCCAACTGTCCAATAAATGGTTCACAACTGACAAGGGTGCTAGGAAAATGTCAACTTTTTTTCATGGAAACATAAAAACATGCCCTTTGTGTTTTTTTAATTTTTACATGTTTTTGTATTTTTTTTTTTTTACTTTGTTTTTGGCTGAGTATAGATCTATGTTTGCCCCAAGCATGTTTGAATCCAATTACTATAATAATAATTTTTAAGATTAGTTTTTATATTTCCTCCTGCTAGTTTGTGGTCATGTCCCCGTGTGCTTGATCTTGATCAAATGGCTTAAATCATAATTTAGTCACAATCATAAAAATCTGTTGTAACTGCTTAACTTGTGTTAGCTGGAGTTAAAGGAGAATTATGGGGTTAATATCCAGCTTCATAGCATCCATGTGACGCTGCAGCTGTCCCATGCCGGGTTTAATATTGAGAGCTACATATCACATGATCGGTCAGCTTGCAGCAGAGAACAGTGAACCCCACTCTGCTCCTCCAGCGATCACTGAAGTAATAGGCTAGGTGGACACCTGCTTTTAGCCACATGCTAAAAGGCCATTTTTCAATTAGACATCTGGGTAGATCCTGACAATATTGTTGGTATCTTTACCAAATGTGGTTTCAGCTGACAGTGGGCAATACCCCATTATCAAGTGACTCTGGGTTCCAGGAGTACATTAGTAAATGTTTTCTTGGGACCAATAAGAGAAGAATAGCCAAAAAAGTCTGGTCATACTTCTCTTTTAAGATTTAGTTTGTTTGTCTCTCTTACTTACGGTCCATTTAAACTTACATGTTCTTCTAAAGCATGGATTGAAATTTGTCTGGTTCAGCAGTGACCACCTGAATTTTGATCCATGTATAGGCTAGTTGGTTGTACAGAGGTTCATTCATTCATTGACATGTGTACAACCAGACTGTTGGGGTTTTCCCAAAAGCTCAGTGCCACTGGCTTTGGCCGGAAACAGTGATCATTGTAATCTGATGGCAGAGAAGGCTACTCACCAGCAGAATTCAACAGCTCAACGGGAGTGATTCCCCCATCCAAACTGAATGTGTGGATGGGGCAATCAGATTTTTTTAAAATTCAACTCACTAGTTGAAAGAAAAAAAAATGAATTATGTAAGGCCAACCTAAAACTATCCTGTCCATAGGGTGACAATGATGCTGTGTGATTTCACTGCAGAACAAGCAGCATTGTCAGTAGCTTGTCTATCAGCACCTAGCCACACGTAATCCTGTCCACTGCTTTCTGGGTTGACAGCCTTGATTGAGTGTCTGTGAGGGTAAGTATATGAGACACAAATAAAGGAGGATTTTGCTCAGTCACAGATAGTAAAGGATGTATTTTTACTTCTTTCAACTGTCATACAGGAGTATTTAGTTGTACTTTAAGTAAAAATAAAACATTTTAAACAGTTTCCTGCGCAATAGTGGGCATTGAAAGAGAACAGAGCTTCACCTTATTTACTAAGCAAAGTGAACAATAATTTTTCTACTTGAACAGTCTCTGCTCCTTTAGTAAATCAACCCCACTGCTTCTGCCTCCTTTCTTAGACAATTCCTTGGAACTCTGCATGGGTTTTCTTAATCACTTTGATTGCACTACTGTCAGAAGTCAGATTCCCTGATGTATACTTAGTAATTTCTTTCCCCTTTTGGTGCAGGTGTTTCAGCCTGTTAACTTATTCTAGTCCTGCCTCATCAGATATGTGCTCCTTTATCTTTCTCCTCACTTCTGCCATGCATTGTCACTGGAACAGCACAGTATGACCAGAGTTTCTGTTAAAGCAATCCTGTATTCACCGTATGACAGAACTATTATGTTCCGTTTATCCAATCTTCTATTCATATGCACTTCAGCTATCTCTAAATGTATTATT